AAAAAAAAAAAAAAAAAAAAAAAAAAGGCTCCAAGGTTCTGTTGGTTTATGAAGTCTGCGGTGCCAGGTCTACCTCTTGCCTACTTATTCTGTCTAGGTGCATGACATAATTGCGTAAGTTGCTGACAACAGCACACACAGCAGCACCAGTGAAAATTATGATGCACCCGTAGACCGCCCCCAGTATAGGGGTCAACATTGATTTTATAACTTGAATGCGTTTTGCCTAGGTAGAACCTAGGTCTCCAATATTCCTTCTTTCAATTGGTAGTCCTTGGCGCCCGTAACGGCACTGTTCAGCCTAGGTCACCAACGACGCAGCATGTCAGATCCAGACACAAAACCTTTGTTTTGCATTCTTTTTGGCCGTATGCTAATTCCCAGACCCAAAACCTGCCACAGGCCCAACAGCACAACATGGAGAATAAATAGTAGTTGTGGCATCTTGCATTGGAATTCGTCCCGCCGAGTCACGTGATTCTGCATTCGCTATCTATTTCGATCATCTTGTTGGCACTTTGCCACGGCCTATCAACTCTCATGATCCGATTTGAAAAATGCCCCCCTTCAGAAGTCTCCCAGCCATCTACAGGTGACTCAGTTTGATGCTCGTCACTGTGACAGTCTGTTTGAAGTCCTAGCCATTACCGTCACACTGCGTAGCTGGATGGTTGAGATACTTGGACCAACTTCCTATCTCTGGATATGAATACTGCAACATAGGTGTAGTAGCTGCCGCAGGCCATGTCTGGGAAATTAGGATTCGAAGGCCACAAAGCAGTCCAGGATCCCTTGGGACGACCGAGAGATGCTTGTCGAGAGCTGATCGTATTCTTTAGAGGGACCCTCACCTCGACCCCCATTAGTTTCAACCTGCTAAAGCCACCGGAAAGTCCCTGAAGGAAAAAGACATCACCCTCGGGTGTGAAGGATCTGAAGGATGCTGGCTGGAAGAAGGCTTGCAGAGACGCCTCTGAAATGACGTGGGAGCGCCTTTGTCCCGTACTCCTCCTCACACAAGGTTTCAGGTAGAACTTGAAGGAGAATGAAATCCAAGCCTCTAGCTTACACCGGTTGAAGTCGAAGCGGGGTATCAAACCACATGAAGGTTGCCGCGGGCCCGCACACGTCTGGCAGTTCTTCGTCGGACGTATGGAGTACTGGCTGGAAAAGGAAAGACCTGCTGTACTCTCTAGCCAACCAAGCAAGGCACTGGCCCGGGCGTACACTCCGGGGAAGTGCGGGTCTGCACACTGAGCACCGAAACTCGGAAGACCCACGAGAACAGGACAACCTCCTGAAGACGATGACACCGTTGCAGGGCCTCCATTGTCTCCCTGGCACGAGTCCACACCTCCATTTGAACATCCAGCACAGATCATCACTTGTGGCTTGAAGAATGACCCATATCTACCACACCCATTTGGTAGGTGATCTACGGTTGCACCCAACAGCACACTGCTTAGATTGCCACCTATTTCGGCTGTACCCCATCCGCTGATGCTGACGTCAGACAATGGAGTCAGGGCTCCGTCATCGTACGCTAACTTGATGGGCATAAGTGTATCGGAAATGGGAAGAGCTCTGACAAGCTTCAGAAGTGCGACGTCGTTCGCATAAGTACCGTTCCGGTTCAAGTTGAATGCTGGATGACTCCACACCTTCGCCACACCGACAGTTCCACCTCTTTCGATCTTACTGGATCCCACTCGAATAAGGATGTCAGCAGGCTCTCTGACGTCAGGAAAACCCGGCGCCACCAGACAGTTAGCTGCAGACAAAGGAGTGACACTCTGTCAGACTCTGCTTCCACTTGCAAGCACTAGGAGCCTGGTTGCATAACTCACTGCTCAGCAAATTTAATGCAAAGAAACATGGTGGATGTAGCTTGCCAATTTCTATCACATTATTACACATTGAACCCCCTCAATCTTGCATTTGACGAGCTGCAGCAGTGGAACACTGGAAAGGGGTATGTCCAGCAGGAAAATAGGGTAGTTCTATCCTCTGGCAGGCAGAGATGAGCACACAGTATTGTGATGTTCACAAGAGTGTGAAGTTACATCAAAGTGAAGGAAACATTTGTGGCAACAATACAATAGAAGCTGGACAAACGTGCATCTTGTCGTGCAAATTCCGTCTGCCCCCTGCTGTGCGCCCCCAGCCCCACCCCCCCATGGCCTTTCCCTTCATCCTCGGAGTCCCCTCTATACCCCTCCACACCAAAACAAACAAACTCACTTTCATTGGCCACAGCAAACTTGCAGACAAAAGAAGCATCCTAAACATTCGCTATGGCATACAGTCCCCCCTTGCCCCTGTCTCCCTACCCAGACTGCACCCGGCTCCATTTCCTTCCACACATGCAAACTCACACTTGCGGGCACATGTGGACAATGGACATAAAAAATGTGTACAGGCACACACAAATAGAGAGAGAGAGAGAGAGAGAGAGAGAGAGAGAGAGAGAGAGAGAGAGAGAGAGAGAGAGAGAGAGAG